TGAGTGTAGCATCTTTGGTGATCCGTGCTTTGGGACGACCAAGGAGCTCGCTGTCGCTGTCCAGTGCGTCAACGAGAACGTCATTGGCGGCAGTGTCTCGGAAGGCTCGATGCTCCGGCTCACGTGCCCCACCGATCGCATCATCGGCGACATTGTGTTTGCTTCGTTTGGTACGCCGACGGGCGAGTTCCTTGACTTTTCCCCCGGCGCCTGCAACGAACCCACGTCGGCGGCCACGGTCGCCACTCTTTGTACGGGCCAGAACTCGTGCGACCTCGATGCGTACACGGGGTACGAACGGTCTGGATCCAAAGTGCAAACTCATATCCGATGATTCTAGTGTATTCGGCGACCCGTGCCCGGCCGAAGAGAAGTATCTGAGCGTCCAGGTCAACTGCGTCGGCGCCAACACGGTCCATGACACAGTGCAAGAAGGGTCGGAGCTCGAACTGGCGTGTCCCGCCGGCTCGAGCATCACGTCTATCATCTTTGCCTCGTACGGCACGCCCAACAACTACGTCCAAGGCGCGTGCGAGGCGGTGACGTCTCTCGAAGTCGTCACCGAGTCGTGCGTCGGCCAGCCGTCGTGCCACGTGACCGCTTCGGACGAGTACGTTTGCTTGGTGCGTGAGGCGGCGCACTGACGTATCTCTCTAGTGTGTTTGGCGACCCGTGCCCGGGAACGTTCAAGTCGCTCAGCGTCCAAGCCGAGTGCTCGGCCGGCCTCGCCCCCGGCATCATCCAAGCCACGGCCACCGACGGCAACGCTGTCGTGCTCTCGTGTCCGCAAGGCGAGACCATCAGCAACATCGGCTTTGCCTCGTACGGCACGCCGACCAACTACGAGTCGTCGAGCTGGTGTGATGCGCCGTCGTCCGAGACCGTTGTCGCGGCGGCGTGCATCGGGAAGAGCTACTGCAGCGTCGAGGCCAGCACCAGGTTCGCATATCTCGTCTTTTAGTTCGTGTGCTCATACGATGCGAATAGCGTGTTTGGCGACCCGTGCCCCGACACGGCCAAGAACCTCAACGTCCAGGCGCAGTGCTCGGACGCCAATTGGATCGGCGGCTCGGTGGCCGAAGGCGCTTCGCTCGCGCTGGCGTGTCCGGCCAACCAAAACATCGTGTCGATCGAGTACGCTTCGTACGGCACGCCGGCCGGAACGTACCCCAACTTTGTCTCGACGTGGTGCGACGCGCCGGACAGCGCCACGCAAGCTGCCGCCATCTGCATCGGTCACAACGCGTGCACGCTCGACGCCAACAGCGGGTACTTGCATCGCATTGCCATAATGTGCGGTGGACTCATGATCGATACCAACCTAGCGTCTTTACCGACGCGTGCCCAGGTGTCGCCAAGCGGCTCTCTGTGATTGCCGAGTGCGTGGACGCCGACCTCGTCGGCAGCTCGGCGCTGGATGGGGCGTCGGCGACGATCCAGTGTCCGCAAGGCGAGTACATTGGTTCGATTCCGTTTGCGAGTTACGGCACGCCGACGGGCGAGTTTCCCGACTACGCCGCCGACCCGACGTGCGATGCGGCCGGTGCCGTGGCGACCATCGGTGACCGGTGCATCGGCGAGAATGCGTGCTCGGTCGACGTCCACAGCGGGTACATCCACCATTGCTTGGATGACCACAACCACTCATGCGTAATGGTAGGACGTTTGGCGACGACCCGTGTCCGGGCGCCACCAAGAAGCTCGACGTGACGGCCAAGTGTGTGCCCAACAACATCATCGGCACGAGTGTCGCCCAAGACAGCAGCGCGTCGTTGCAGTGCCCGGCTGGCACGTACATCTCGGCCATCGACTTTGCTTCGTTCGGCACGGCGACCGGCATCTTCCCCGACTTTAGCGTCGACCCAACGTGCCACGCCGCCGACAGCAACTTTGTCGTCGGCTCGAGCTGCCTCGGCAAGAACTCGTGCACCGTGGCCGCGACCGCCGACACGTTTACTGCGGGTCCTTGCGCGGGCTCGACCAAGAGTCTGTCAATCGTCGCCGAGTGCATCTCGAACGACATCATCGGCACGTCGGTGCCGCAAGGTGCAGTGCTGCACTTGAGCTGTCCGGCCGGCAAGACGGTGCAGTCGATCGACTTTGCGTCGTTTGGTAATCCCACCGGCCACGTCGGCTCGTTCGCCACCGGCTCGTGCGACGACCCGAGCTCGGTGGCCATCGTGCAGCAGGCGTGCCTCGGACAAGACTCGTGCTCCGTGCCGGCCAACAACGTGTTTACGGACAACTGCTACGGCGTGCAAAAGCACCTCACGGTGCAGGCCACGTGCGCGACGCCGCCGCCGGACCCGCAGATCATTGGCGGGTCGGTGCCCGAGCATGGTACGCTGGAGCTCTCGTGTCCGGCGGGTCAGGCCATCGACGCCGTCTTGTACGCGTCGTACGGTCTCTCGGGCGGCGCGTTCCCCCGCTTTGTCAACGACTGGTGCACGTCGCCGTACTCGGAGCCCGTCGTCGAGTTTCTCTGCCTTGGTCAGACGTCGTGCTCCGTGCCGGCCGAGAGCGCTGCCTTCAGTAACCCGTGCGTCGACACGGACAAGACGCTGAGTGTCACTGCCCACTGCAAGGACGCGGCGCCGGTGATCGTGACGCCGCCCAACCCGGACCCGACCATCATCAGCGCGACTGCCACGGACGGCAACACGCTCTCTCTGCAGTGTCCCAACAACTTTGTCGTCGGACCGGTGCTCTTTGCCTCGTACGGCACGTCGGCGGTGCAGTCGGGTGTCAACACGGTCAGCTGGTGCCACGCGCCGTTGTCGGGTCCTGCCGTTCAGGACGCGTGCACCGGCCAGAACGCGTGCTCGATCGACGTCTCTCCCCAGTACGTCGCTACTCGACTCTTTTGC